GTGAGTAGTTGTGAATGAATTTTCATTTTCGTGTGTGTGTGTGTGTGTGTGTGTGTGTGTGTGTGTGTGTGTGTGTGTGTGATATTTTCTATATTTCCTAGTTATCTGTCTCTGGTATTAGATTTTGAGCTAAATAAAGGTATGAACTATATTTAGTAAGCTTTTGTCGACAGATCTAAGTTTGAAATTAAGTTTAAAACAGGAAAAAACAGCATTTTGATGAATATATCTAGAACGCATCTTCTGAACTTGGTTTTGATCTATGTATCATCATCAAAGTGTAGAGAATAGTTTTATGGAGTTTGAGGGAAAAAAAACTTCAAATATAAAAAAGCTAATTGTTTTTAAATTACAGGTACTTTCTACTGTGCGTAAACTACTTTTTCTATGGAGAGACTGTAGCTGATTATTTTGCTACATTCGTTCAAAGAGAAGAGCAACTTCAGTTCCTCATTCGCTACCATAGATTTATATCATTTGCCCTCTATCTGGCAGGTACGTTAAGGAAAATATTCTGTATTGATATGTAGCTAATATATTTTACATGTTTATTTTTATTTATGTTATTTAAATTTATAACATCCTTCATGTGTTATATTTTAATCTAGCTTCTCTCTTTAATCATCCCATGTATAAAGCTATTTTTTAATTAGGGTCTTAAACTGCAATTTCTCCCTAATGGTGGTTTAAAAAATTTTTAAAAAATTACTCGCTTAATAGTCACTCCATATATTTGAAATTTTCTTTTTGCAAATTGTAGTAAAGAAACCTTTAAATATATTTTTTACACTATTAAACAGGCACCTAAAATATCACTTTCTTTGAGCCAAGTAGCATCTGTGATTACATTTCCATTTTTTTGCATTTCTATTTCCTGAACTTAATAACGGCTTCACCTTTTTTCCACATTTGTGAATATCTGTGTAGCAATCCTTAAATTTTCCTTCAAGTCTGTCCCAATAGGTAGTAGCTTTTTCAGATGTTCACATACATCAGTGCATCAGTTCCCTTTTTTCCCCGGAAACTCTGTCCTAGAAAACTCTGTGGTCCTGTTCCTATTTGGACTGGCTGCTGTAGACCTACTGCTTACCCGTCCTCATAGTTTGGCCTCTCCATTTCCTCCATCCTGTGCCTTCCGATTTCTGGGTTAATACCCTCATTTTGATGAAGCACAACCCCCAATAGTTTCCCGTGAAATGTGCTTAGAAGGTAAATGCTTTTTTTTTCCCATACATTTCTAAAAATATCTTTATTCTATTCTCACAATTGACTGCTTTGCTTCAGGCTCACACTTAATAGTAGACTTTTGCTTAATACTGTAGAAGCCCAGCCCTCACCCATGCCTCCTAGTAAGCCTTTGCTGTTCAGTTTGTTTTTTGTTTTTGTTTTTTTTTTTTTAAAGAAAATACTGCTAGTTGTCTCTGATTTCTCAGGTCTGCTAAAAGTAGTCCAGTCTGTTTTCCAGCTTCCGAATTTTGCAGCCATTTCTCTTCTGCTTTCCTTGATATTTCAGTTCTCTTTGCTCTGTGGGTTTTTACCTTAATTTCTTTTAACATTATTTTAGCGGGCTACCAGGATGGTATAGACAGAAATGCATGTGATAAAGCTGCCATTTTAAGACAGAAATTGTTAACTAGATTTTTAGTTTCCCTTGGCTTAAAACAATTGATTATTTTCTCTTATGGTGCTGGGGATTGACTGGGCTTTACTGGGAAGTTCTAACTGAGGGCTTCTCCTGTGGGTACAGTCAAATTGAGGTAGTGCTAGTCATTTTAACCTTGAGTGGGCTAAGTGTCCAAGATGGCTCGCTCTCATGGCTGCAGTCAGTGCTGGCCGTTGACTTGAGCACCTGTGGAGTTTGGATGGCTCAGAGCACCATGGACGGGTTCTGAATTGAGAGTGTGTTTCAAGAGTCCTTAACTAGGTTTTTTTGTTTTTTGTTTTTTTTTTTAACTAGTTTTCAAAACTGAAAGCATAACACATGCTCATAGTAAAAGTTCAGACAAAAAAAAGGACTAGTCAGTGAAATCTTCCTTCTGCCTCAAGAGCCTTAATTACTATCTCCAAGGACTCACTATCACCATTGCAGAATTTTTTTTGAGTATTCAAGCTTATATGTTTACATTGTTCATTCTCCTTCATTTATTTTATACAACTGAGAGTGGACTATTTTATGCCTGCTCTTTCCACTTGATGTAGTTAATGGATGTTTCTAAATTGACACATCTAAATCTATCTTATTTTTTTCCATATCGGTAGTTACATCTATATTCATGTGCATATGGGATATCAGAAAGTAAGGTGACTACAGATTCCTTGGCTTGCTTTCCCTTTGTGGTTCGCTATAACTTACACTTGAGAACAACTTCTCAATTCGGTGGGTAAACATGGTGTAATTTATTTTGTTTTTTCTTTTTATACATTTTATACATGATAGCCTCCCAACCAACCCTTTTTAATAATTGCTTGCTTCATACACTAAACTTTTGACTGTAGTTTTATAAGATAAAATCATTATTTCTTCCTTTTTCTGACTCTTTTCTGTCAGAGAAATAGCTTACCCCTTGCTATTTTAGGCTCTTAGAATCACAGAAGCTCATTGAAAGTCATGAGCTTGAACAAACATTTGGGTACTTGCCAAATGCTAGGTATTATGAACAGTGTTAAGGAAGCAAAGGGAAATAAAGCCGACAGCTTGCCTTCCAGGGTCTTGAAACTGGTGAGACATGAGTTCCTGAGTATGTTGCTGAAACTCGAACTAGGACCCCTAAGAGCAGGAAGAAGGGAAAAGAGGGCCTTGCTCTGCTATGGGGTGGGAAGGCCAAGAAGGCCTTTCAGATGACAGGTGTCATGACAAGTAAAGAACAAGCAAACATTCACCAGGTGGGTAGTGGGAAAGGGCATTCCAGGTAGAGGGAACAGCTGTGCAAGGCTTGAAACGAGAGAGAAATAAATGCATGTTCTGGGTGGGTGGCAGGCATTAAAGGTTGGAAGGGTAGGTAGGGGCCACATACAGAGAAGCTTTGTATATCCTGGGAAGGGCTGGGACTTTATCCCTTGAAAACCACTGGAGGATTTTAAGCCAAGAGGTGATATAGCGGATTTTTAATTAAATGAAGGATGACTTGGGAGATGTCAATAGGGCAACTAGATAGGAAACTGCTACTGTATGTAATTCATACTAATTAGAATGAGGGCTTGAGCTATTTAAGTTTGAATTTAATACTAAGAGGGTTATAAATTAAATAAAAATACCGTGGGCTGATCTTAGAAACCACTTGCTATTTATGGCGGTCCATGAAAAATTGCTTTGTATCCCAAATTATTGGCTTAAAATGTACTTTTTGTTGAGATAATCGTGTCTTTACATGCAGTTGTAAAAAATAATAAAGACATCCCTCATACACTTTGCTCAGTTTCTACCAATGTAATAATTTGCAAAACTACTGTATATTATCACAGCCCTACAAATATATTTTTAAAATGCAACTTTGTAGTAAGCTAGGAGCTACCGAGTAAAATGATGAAACTTCTAATATAAATCACGAGTAGTATTCTATATCTGTTATTTTATATGTGGCCGAAATATGGTCCTATTAGACCATAAGCACCAATTTGTGAGTCTCTTGTTTTTTTTTAATTCCCAGTGCCTAGCGAAGGGTCTGGCATTTAAATTCCCAATACATATTTGCTGGATGAATGGTCAAGAAACTGAGAACATGCACATCCATACACAGTGCTTCGTAGAGCAACTTTCTCAGCATCTTTGTTTTGTTTGCTGAGTCTCGAGGCCATACTGGTAATCACTGAAGTGGTTAGCAACATTCATGAGCTTACTCTAGCAAATGGGGTTAGACTTTAAAATAGGAGTAAGGAAATAGAGAGCGTGCTATGTTGACATATTTGTACCATTCTCTCAAATCTTTGGAATTCTTTTAGTTGAACAATATTCCAAGGGTCCTGTCAAAATTTTAGTTCCGACTTTGGAAAATATAGGTCTTAGCAGATTTAAAAGGCAGAGACAGCCCAAGCTGTTTCACTGATGTTACATTTTCTTAAAATGTAGGTGTCCCCAGGTCTGACCCCTCACCAAGACCCACAAGATTACATGACTTGTTTAATATCATACAAAATGACTCACTGACTGGGACCTGGAAGTCATTTTGATGTTTATATAATTTTTGTTGTAAAGTGAATTTATCTGATAGCAATGAGAAAAACAGTGACACTGAAAATACTATGACAAACATTTCCTCTAGAGTCTAGATATATTTTCAAAAGACCTTGGCGATTTGGATTTGGGGCTCTTTAGAAACCAGAGCACCCATGTGATTACATGTCTAGTAGTGATAGGTGAATAAGCTTAAGATTTTTGGCCTTAATGTCATTAGCTTACTATCTCTTACCACCAACTAGTGGTTTTGTTTTGTTTTGGCTTGTATTTATGTGTAGCTAATGCTTTTAATTTCTTTTTAAAAACCTTAAAAAGAAGGTGTGACTTAAATATAATACTTTGAATTCAAGAAAACCAATGGACATATAAAATTATAGTTATATTAATGCATAGTTAAGATTTTCCCCTCAAACATCCTGAATATCTTCTACTTCAAAGTATGTTGATGAAATCTTAGAAAGATGTCACAAATAACTATTTACAAAAGACTGTCTCCAAAACCACTTGCAGTTTTTGAGTTAAAGACTATTAGAAACTATACACATGCTACTGTTATTCTACACCTGAAACTCACCATGAAGATTAATAGAAAACTTGTAGCTAATATAATGGTTGGTTTATGTGACAAATTCTACATGCATATTCACTTAACCTTTTTTAAAACAACTCAGATGTAGTCTAATGTCTGAACATGGGCACAGATAATGCTGTGCCCTTCTGAATTTATTTAACATGATGTTTGAAACATTTTGGAGTTTTGATTGTTATATAAGTGTTATGAAAACTATAGCCACATGAAAGAATGAGGGATGAGTCAGTAAGCTCCAACATTTAATCCTGAGTCCATCTTCAAGTCTGTTTTTTGAATTAAGGACTATATGTGTTAATAAATTGGTTAATCACCAATAGTAGATTTTTAAAACTTTGTTATGATTTTATATTTTTCTGTCTCTTCAACTAGATTATGAATCGATATTCAATAGAAATCGAATAAAAATCGAATAAAAATACCTATCTTAGTTTTTATAACTTGTGTATGGTACATCTTAAATGCTCAATAAAAATTTTTTGATTGTCCATTTTTTCTGAAATTCCATGTTTTGCACTTTTCAATGTCTTTTTCCCCCTTTATTTCTCCTGACTACTTTAGAAATCTCACTCTTTTTTTGCTCCTTTTGAATATACCTCTCTTTAGTCCATTGGGTAACTGGATCTACCTAACCACCTGGGAACTCCTCGATGCTAGGCAACAGGATGTACACATCTTTGTATGGTGATCAGTCAGTGTAATTAAACATAATTAGGTATCAAGAACTGTATGTTAGGAAGCATTTTCAGTGAATACTTTTATTTACAATACTGTAACAAATCTTATGATTATTTTTGGAATTATAACCATATAAATACTTGTGTAATTAGGTGAAAAATAAAGCTATGGATTCAAATATACAGTTATCTTTTCCATAGATTTATTAAAATATAGTATATATGTATTTTTACACATTTAAACATAAAACATACACATAACTTTATGGGTGTGAATGAAAAAGCAAATTTATGTATTTCTTTTTTTCAGATTCTTTTTTTCTTTTTGTCCTTAAATAAAGGGTTTATTGAGCCTGATGCTAGCCAGAAAAGGGACCATGTCCCAGGACATACAGTCAAAACTACCAGCAGCAGGATTAGATGGGGAAGATGAACATGTCCCCATATTGTTTTTCTTAAAGGAAATTTAACTTCAGATGTGCTAAGAAAATACTTGACACCCTTCCCTCCCCCTGCAAACTGAGAGACCTGTATCATCTTAATGTGTCTAGGAGTCAGATAATTATATTTTCTATTAGAGCACTCTAAAAAGCTGCATGTTACTGGTTGATTTAATGGTGAAATTGGAACAGGTAAAAATGAGTTGCCCAGACTATCCTGGATAAAACCACCATTACGAAAATATTGAATGATTCTGCTGGTAATTTTGTTTGAAGAAATGCTTGAGAGTGAATGGTTTTATATGATTTCAACATAGAGAAAACCATACATGTTGGAGTAGTATATGTGAGGAGATAATTCATAGTTAATGAAGTTGAGAAGTTCCCAGGCTTGTGCTGGGAGTCAGAGGGGTCCTGTTTGGATAGAAGGGGAGATTCTAGAGGCATCTGTCTTGTCTCTTTGTTGTTATGCCGTTAACTTCTGAATCAAGTCCAGTCTACATTCATCCCCTTAACCATGGGCCAATGGCATAAAACAGCATAGAAATTACATTCTTACGTGAGCCATAAGATAAGTCTACTTGCTATAGAAGAAAAATTTTAAAGCAATTATTTTTAAGAGGTCTTTTGAACTACCGATTTCAGTGCCATGAATTTCACGTTTTAACCCCACCCTTCCCGCTTTCTTTCAGTCTCTCAAGAAAATGACATTTGGCTTTCAGTTGTGCCTCTACTCAGAAAACGGTTCCATATTTCTTTTGTAGTTCAGCCTGTCAGATTATTTTATAGATGACGAGTAGGAGGTGAGGTAGGATCTGGGAACCAGTATGCATTCTCTCCTTTGTCACCATTTCAAATCAGTCATCAAAGTATAGCTGAAGGCAGCTGCTCTTTTATTCTTTGCTCTGGTCGGGGTAGTAGCAGCCTTGCTTACTCTAGTGGGTAGAGTTGCCTTGGTAAGTAAACTTGGATATACGAAGTGTAGTATTTATTTCATATGGGATAGATTAATTGACAATTCGTTTTCTATCTCAGAGAACTCTGTAAAGATCTTGCGAAAACAGAATGTATGGTGACTGTTAATCTGAAATTAAACCTGGTTTATGCATTTCCAGTATCTACCTCTGTAAAAATATTTATCTTTAAAATTTTACTGATATATTGGGCAAAAAGTGCTTCATATTGTCTCCTATTAATATGCGATTGTTAGATTTTACTTAATTAGGTAGAACTTTATTTAGTAAAATTTTATTCTAATAAATTCGTAGGATATAAACATAAACACAAATGCTGTTTGTAAAATTTGAAATTAAGAATTTTATATTTTACTATAATTATTATTGTTCTGAGAGATTTGTCATTCTTAACTTGAATCTTGCTGATAAAGGTTTATGGAACTGCATGACTATTAAGGGTCAGTAGTATCTGAGGGTTTAACTGCTTTTTAACCCTATGATACTCAGTAAATTAATAAAGTCCTTTGTGCATTTTTCTTCATCTGTAAAATGGAGATAATGATAGGTACCTACATCATAGGGATGTTGGAATGATTAAATAAGTTAACACTTGTAAAATGCTTAGACATGAGCCTGAAACATAATAAGTGTTCAATAGATGTCAGCTGCTATAATAATTATTAGTTTTTGTATGATGCAGAGATTGAAACATTCTGTACATATACTTGATGGATTGATATGCCAAATAAATTTTATTCAGCTGAAACTCAAGATCTGTTTTTCCATGTCCACATGTTATCAAGAACTAATTCACTTAATGTAAGGAGTGTTTATTGAATTTATGCTATGGAATATATTAGGCATTTTGGAGCATACAAAATTGTTTCTCTCAAGCAACTTTTACTTAAAATGCTTAATATAAAAGTAGGAGAGATGGCATATGAGTAAGTGGCCAGAGTATACTAGATGTGGTGTAGAAAATTGGCTTATTTGAGCTCAGTGAATCATACACTTTGTAACAAATTGTACAACAAGCACGTGATTTTTGTTCTTGAACAGGTTTCTGCATGTTTGTGCTGAGCTTGGTAAAGAAACATTATCGACTGCAGTTTTATATGGTATGTATTAACCATTACTCTTTTGTCACTATATATCATAAAAACCCTTACTTTTTTTGGGGGGGGGTGTAGTTGATGCCTAAATGTGAGGGACATTGCAGTTTTGGATGACTACTAAATACAAAGGTTAAAGTTGAAACATTTTTGAGAATTTTAAAATTTTAACTGTTTCCAGTATTTCCTAAAAACATTTTCTTTGAATATTTTCAAAGGCTATAAAATTAAAACCAAGTATTTGGATTCCCTAAGTTTGTAGCAATCTGAAGCATTTTCATAGTTTCCTGAAGAGTAAGTCAGTCTGGGAAGCATCTACCATTTTTCTGTACAGGAAGTTGCTATGTTTTACTTGCTCTCAGTTCAGCATAAAGGGATCAGAGTATATATTTTCTTGGTAAATGTGGTTAGTCGTACAGTTGCATAATTCTTTTTGGTCTAAGGTATTTTATTCAGTTTATCATTGAACAGTGTTTGTTTTATGAAATTTATCCCTTTATATGATGAACTTCTCTTATTTCTTTAAAAGGTGGCTAATTATAAGACTGTAAAATGAAAAATATAGTATTTAGATTTGTGAATTCATGAATCAGTAAGGCCTTGTTTTGGATGTGAAATGTATTTTCCTATTCTTTTATGCTCTACTTTTCTCCATCATGACTTTCTGCTGAGTATTAGTGCTGAGAAATTATAATATTATTACATTTCTAATTTCTGGAGCCATTGAGGGGAAAAGAATAAAATTCTTGGTCAAAAATCTAGAAACCATCAAGACAAATTAGAAATAATAGAATCTGCAATGAAAATATAAATGGTGCCTATTGGGGGAAAAAATCATTTATGCTTTTTTAAACAATTAGGGTAAAAGAGAATTGGATCCTTTAAGCAGATAAAATAAAACACCAATATGTTATTTGCCGAAATAGAAACTAGGTTTATTATGAATAAATCAAAATCCTAAGAATGTCAAAGAGTCATTTTATAAATTCCAATCAAAATTATAACACCGGTACGTAGAAACATTAGCTTTTTTTTTGTTCGTATTTTACTCATACTAGTGATACTAGAAGTCACTAAAGCGGCCATCTCTCAGGCTAGATCAAATTGGAACAAAAGAGGCCTTTGAAAAATTGAAATTGAATTCTGTCATTGAACAGAGAAGTGAAGATCAGCTTTCAAGTATGAAAAGATGTAGTTTAAGGGCGAGTGATCCCTGCTGGTTTGAATCTTTTGAAGTTAGAAATAACTTGATGGGTAAAAGTTACTAAAATAAACGCTCAAAGGAAAATAGAGTTTGGCATTTTTAATAACTGTAGAATGCAGCCAGAGCAAAATGTTCCTCTCTAAATGCCATTACACCATTAATTTCTCGTTATTCTGATGATTCAAAGATTATGAGTTTGTGATTTTTTAAATTTATCTCAGTATTATTAGCATTACATTTGTGTATAAATTAAGATTAGTTTTCAAAAATGTTTTCATAGATCTAAGGTTCCAGTAGGCACGAAAATGAATGTAATTTGCTAATGCCATTTATTTTATATGACCTCATCTTACAAAATTTAACCAAAAGTCATGCTAAAATTTGTGTTTAAAAATTGCTATTGCTTCCTGGACCGCACTGATCAGTTGTGTTAACTAATTGTTGTGTTGTCGGGCTATTAACAGTTCGCATGGACTCATGTCACTTTACTGATAACAGTTACTCAGTCACATCTTGTCATCCAAAATCTGTTTGAAGGCATGATATGGTAAGGGAGCAGTATTATGCTGCTTTATATTTATAGCACTTTTAAAGCTCTTTCACATTGGACAGCGTCTTATAGATTTCTACTGAAAGTTACTATTTGTTGTTGCTCTGTTCCATTTTAAATACCTTCCTGAGTTTTGTTTACTATTTGACACCCGAAGACAAACACTTTAACAAGTGGAAATCTTCCTTATTCAGGTTCCAATTAAAATGTAGAAAGTCTTATAAAGGTGACAGACAATTGCATTTTCGGTTTTACTACATTTTAATATGAGTTTTTTATAAAGCATAGCTTTTAAAAAGAGCATATTATTTACGTGGAATGCAAAAAGGACATGCAAGTTTGTTTGCAAACAGTGTGCTGGCAGTGCTTTTTCTCTAGGTAAGAGTTAGGTAGGTTCTGTCTACTCTACCCACTGTGTATGTATCTAGGAGTGGGTGTCCAGATTTCGGGTATATGGAATAATTTGCTATATTGCAATGGCTTGCAGATCCAGAAAGCATTTTTATGAGTTAAAAATTAGTTTAAAATTATAAAAATTATTATTACTTAAAAATTAGAGTGGAGAAAAATGATATGAAGAAATCTGACCATATTTTTCCAAATTCTTCTAAAACCTATTAAAGTCCTTTACAGTTGATTGGTTTTGTAAAAATAAATTATTCCCTTGACAGCTTTGTGTTTTTTACCAAGTATGTGTGTGTGTGTGTGTGTGTGTGTGTGTGTGTGTGTGTGTGTGTGTACACACATGTAAACAGAATCATTTTAAGATTGTCTTCCATTTACAAACTTTTAATCGATGTGGGGGTAGTTGCTAAAATTAGGTTCTGTACAATTAATAAGGTTTAATGCAACTGTAGGTTAAGATAGAATTCAAATTGATAATTTTTAATGATAGATTTTGTATTAAGAGCTTGGTATAAATTTGTCAGATTACAATATCTAAACAAATGACTCATTTCCATTTTGAAAGGCTGCTTTTTAAAAATTCTTTATACTATTATGACTTATTCCTCATGAAACTAAAATTTCAAATTCAAAAGCTATAGAAATTATTTAATATTAAAATTAAGTTATTTAATATCTTTCTTAGCAATATTCTCCTGGTATGTTTATTTATAAATTTTGCTCTGCTTAATTGCTAAATGCACAAATTTGGTTGATATGTAATATTCCTAATAATATTGGGGAAGTGTTACATAATTCAAGGGTTATTATATTGGTTCATTATGAGTCATAATCCACATAAATATTTATCACTGCTTCATATGAACTATTTTCTGCTTTATTTTTTTTTTTTAAGGTTCCTTGTCCCAATATCAAGTGTTATCTGCAATGATATAACTGCTTACCTTTTTGGATTTTTTTTTGGGAGAACTCCATTAATTAAGGTAATGGAAAAATATCACAAGCAAGCTACTACCATAACCTTAAAGATTAGCCATTGGAGGAAATTTCCAACAACTTAGTGCTGTTGCACATTTTTTATTTCCAAGGTGCTTTGATTTTCTTTAGCTGCACTTAGCAGCCAGAATGTAGGGGCAGTGAGCCATATTTCCCGATGATGCCATTTGGGTTCTTCATCAACTATTCCGTTGGTTCCTCAATAAGGACTTGACTCTGTCAGTTATTCTTTCTCTCATGAAGGCTCATTATCTTGCTGCTGGTTTCTTTCCCTCAGCTATTGTGTAGTTCTTCTTTATTCTACTCCCCAGCAGCTCTATAAAAAAGCCTTTCTTTAACCTTGCTCTCCCTCAGCTGTCTCATCTACTCCATCTTTTTAACTTTCTGAAAGTGTACATTACATTATTTTTACATACTCATGTCTATTTGTAAGACTTTTACACATAATTCATTTCAAAAAGGAATTGAGGCCCTACAATAAAATACTGATAATGCAATTAATGAGGAAGGGTTATGGGAAAATAAAATACATGTGAGCAGACCATGTTGTTTTGCCTTAGATTTGGTTCTTTTTATAGTTAGTAGAGGTGAAGAAGGAAATTAATTACATTGTAAGTTCTCATTTGGGGGGAAGAAAGAAACAAACCAATTCTTCATGGAAAATTAAACCTTGTCTTTCAAAAAACTTTCTATAAATTTTTACCTACAAAGGAGTCCAGCACACAGCATCAGGCTGAGCTGTACAGATACAAGCAAGCTATATATATTTTTAAAGGTTCTAAAACTGCTTGAGCACAAGAGCAAGTAATTAAGTATTCGAGGCTTCTATACCGGCTTAGGAAGCCTTCAGAGAGGCTGTTAATGGCTGTAGAAAACTCTCACTGTCTGATTTTGAACATAGACTTCTAGTAGATTTACCAGGCTGGAGTACTTGTATAATATACTCGGATGTAATTAAGTAAGTTCACCCCTCAATCCATATGCTACAGACCAATTTAATTTGATAAGCTATCTTTAAAATAATCAGCAGACACATTTATATTGTAGTCAACTCCCACTTAGTGACAATAATACCGAATTATCCTAGGAGAAGGTATATATCAGTCCCTTTGCTATATGGTAGAATTGTCAGATTTGTTAAGAAACCATTTCTACCAAACCCCTTGGCTTTGAGCTTTATGAACATCATGACAAGAGGTCTATGAAGAGGTCGGTCATATGGCTTAGCTATCACTTGTTTCTATCTGCAGAAACTTCTCTCGAATATTTATTTGACTTCTGCCCTGTTGTTCCACTGAAAGAATCCTCACAGAAGCCATCAGTGATCTCCAGATGACCAATCCTCCTACATCAGTCCTTATTTCATTGGGCACCTCAGGCAGACAGTACAGTCCACTCCTAACTCTTACTCCCGCCTCTGCATCACCCAATTCTAGACTTTCCTCCAGCTTTCACTCCCTGAATGCTCCATCAATTGAGAAGCAATAGCTCTAATCTGAAACACAATATCTATTCTCAGAAGCACACCCTTTTCCTTTCTTCATGGAGATAGACATAGATTGTGACCAAAGGGGGAAGGATATGTGAACACTTATGGAGCACATACTGTATCTGAGATTGTGGACCATTTTGCCATTTCAGGAAGAGGTCTGATGTATGCATGGCCTTTTGGGAACATGTGGAAATATGGCATGCTGCAATGTCCATGCTTTGTTATACTCATTCTGTTTTTGGTGTATGTCAAATGTTTAGGGCCTAAACATTTGTTAGATGCTGTTAGAATGATTTGCACAGATAAATCAGGATCTTGAAATGAAGGAAAAAGGGCTGCAGAGCCATTCCAGTAAGAAAAAAGTCAGGGTAGATAGATGTACAAGGTATTGTGGGAATTCATTGACATAGTTTGCATATGTATTATGTGTTTTATGAGTGCAGTAAATAATTCTTTTTAATTTTATTTGGCCTTTTCTAGTTGTCTCCTAAAAAGACTTGGGAAGGATTCATTGGTGGTTTCTTTTCCACAGTCATGTTCGGATTCATTGTGAGTTTTACTGGGATTTTTATTTTATTTATATTTTGAAGAGTGGTAGCAAGTTTTTAATCAGTCTATCTTAAACCTAAAAGATAAAAGAATTAAACCACAAAATGCTAATAAGGTATTTATTGAAACCCACTAAACAGAATCTATTCTGTACTCCAGTAGCTCTCATCCTGGCTTCTTATCAGAATCACCTGGGGAGCTTGTACAAAAATCTGTTCCAGCCTTATCCCAGGTCAATTAACTCTCCCAGTGGGTTCTAATATACAACTAGGCCTTGAGACCTGCTGCTGGGCTGTTGTGTTTTGGTGGTTTCTGACAGCTGTTCTGCCTTGTGGGGGACATGGTTGCTGGACTGGTGGTGGCTTGGAGTAAAAGCAGAGAATGCAAATGATGTTGAAGAGCTCTGCCTCCTTAACACACGCTGCTACTTGGCTTATTAGCGAGTGCTTACTGCTGTGAGGCCAATTTGCAGGAAATGTTTGTTAAAAATAATTGATGTTCACTTTTAGCCATGAACAACGGATCTCATTAATGTTCTGAAAATTAGTTTACAGTTATGGAATTCAGGTTTTTATTAAAAGGTATTTCATGAGAATCAATAAAGGTACATTAAAATGGCTGGATATAAGATAAATATCCAAAAAAAAGTTACGGTCAAGAAGTTTAATTTTTAAGAGCCTAGATCCTGACAGTTCTAGAATATATTCCATAGCCAAATATAGAGTAACTAGTAACAACATGGAGCTTTGAGAGGGAACAAATATACAAATAAGCGAAAACGTATCAGGTTCCTGGATGGGAAAACCATCATAATTCCTGTTTAATTTAAAAGTTTAGTTTATTCTCAGTGAAAATTCTAATAGAATTTGGTGAAATCAATCCAATGTTTATGTCGAATATTGATGAGATAATAATTGATGTATAGATAATGAAAAGGGATCTGGTCTTGTTCAATATTCATGCCTTACGAAGCAGGGATAATTATAACATTGTTAAGTTAAATAATACTATAAAAATTTGGTATTAAAGACTAATTTAGAAATACTATGAGAATAGTCATATCATTGGAAGAAAATAAAGAGCTACCCTATAAGAATGTAATGCATGACGAAATAATGAGGGAAATTATACATCTTTTTACTAAATGATTTCGAGTAAACTGGTTGTTTGGAAGCAAAATTAGTTTATATCTATTCCTAGTGTCATATTTGCACTTCTGTTAACCATTTTTGAGCAATATAATGGGGTGAATGGCTGCAAAATAAAAGAGAAAAACCTGTTATCTAGCAATATATGTTTATAATAAGATTTTTTTTTAACTATGTTTTTCCATGGCTGAGGACAGCTGTCTTAAAAATTGCAGTGATGTGGCCAGGGAAAGAATAAAGTTTTCTGGGTTGGTCAAGAACAATAGTGTTTTTCACCTGTACTTTAAAAAAAATAATAATAATAATTTTAAATCACTGGTTATGTATTAATTGATAAAATATAACCTATGCAATGAACTTCAGTCGTACTCTCCCATACCTTAATAATTGTTAGCTTCTGCTAACATTATGTGTACTTTGGAAAAGTAAAACCCCTCTATAATTCTTATTTTAATGTTCACATCAGCCTATTTTTCTCTCTAACCTCAACCTATTTTAATCGTAGTCATATACAGATAGTCTCATTGATTTCCAAAGCCTTTTGTTTTCCAGTGGCTTTTCATGGTCTTTTATTGGGTCAGTGATTACCATCTAACTTTGAGAATACATAGCAGAATATGAATGCAAAGAAATTTTGGTATTCTATCTCTGACCTTTCTGCTGACACACACACACACACACACACACACACACACACACACACACACACACACAGTTTTTCATTCAATTTTTCATGAACTCTTGCTTTGTTATTCAGGCCGCCTACGTGTTATCCAAATACCAGTACTTTGTCTGCCCAGTGGAATACCGAAGCGATGTGAACTCCTTCGTTACAGAATGTGAACCCTCAGAACTTTTCCAGCTTCAGAGTTATTCACTTCCTCCCTTTCTAAAGGCAGTGTTGAGACAGGTAAGATAAATGTGGTTAGGGACCCTCTATCCCAAAGATTAAGCTTCATTTAAAAGTAGGATTAGGATTTTTTTCCAGAAATTGATTTCTGTAGAATTGTTAATTCTGCGATATAGAAGTGGCTTCACTGTCTTCTTAGCATCAATAATATGTTCTATTCCTTTGTAATTTTCCTGTCTTGAACATAAAATTAATATTACTGTCATAAACCAGTTGTTTATTAGGAATATACTTGCCTAATGGTTTGAATGCTGATGGTAATTTATCTTGTATTTGTTTTGAAAACATTTTCAACATTCCTTAGATTTCTACAAATTGAATGTTACATTGAGTTTCACATGTTAAAAATAGGGCATGAATTGACTCAGTTTAAAAATTAATTAAAATTCACCAGCTCAAAGATTTCTTAATTTTTAGGGGACCTTTACTAGTACAGAAAGCTGTTGCTCCTAAAAATCAATTTCTCTTCCAAAAGTACAGTGCTACCATTTAAAGGCAACGTTGAAGTCTCACAATAAAGGATGCTGACATTCTGCCCAGTAGAACCCTGCTGATCCATGCCATCAGGACTGGTGGGTGGTTAACTGAAAATGGAGAATCAAATAATTGTGTGTACATACACATATGTGCATGTGTCTATCTGAAACATTTGATTCAGTAAAGCCTATAAGTTGTGAGAATCAGGTTAACCAACAAATTCTTTCTCTTCTTGAGTGTTCAATACATGGTTTCCAAGAATTTTTCAATGTCCAAGCTATCTGTTATCTGCTATAAAACTTTTCGATGCTGCCAATCTTGGATTAGGGGCAAAGCCATTGCTTTGAAAACAGGTCCAAAGATTGGTGTTCTTAACAAAGGCTGTAAAACCACACCTGTTATGCATTCTGTACAGTTTGTAGTTTCAGTTTATTTAAAGTGGAGCGAGAACTAAGAATTTACCAAATAATTGGCGGATGTCTCAGTTTCTATGATCTCTTCTGCAAATCTTTTATAATCATCTTGCTGATGCTCATTTTGATAATCTTTTTTTAAGCAACTTATTTTCATGTGTTTCCACGGCATTTCACTTAGTTTTAAGAGAAAGCCCAATTTTCCCCTCACTTTGCCACATAAAATTAAAGTGAAATAAAATACAAAATTAAAACATTATGTAATTACCAAAAAAAGTACTACTGTTAAAAAACAAATACAGAAATTAACTCAACTGATTCTTGGTAAGCTTGCAACTCAAGTGTTGAAAAAGTTTCTAGATGAACTGAAAAGTAGCCTATTAGCTGCAAGATTTTAGTGTGCCAGGTGTGGTCAATATGCATAAAGAGGGAATGGAGAATGTTGGCTAAGTAGAGGATGATAATGACAGCTTACAATGTATTTTTCTCCCATGATTCTGAAAGTTTGTGAAATTAACAAAAATGTGATATATGATTTGACTTACTGTTTATGTCATGGTTCTTAGTTTAGGTAGCATGCTCAAATACAACTTTAATTCAGTTAGCTCCAACCTTTCCCCTGTTTTTCCCTCTTTAGGAAACAGTGAGCTTGTATCCTTTCCAGATACACAGCATTGCTCTTTCAACGTTTGCATCTTTGATTGGTCCATTCGGAGGCTTCTTTGCCAGTGGATTCAAAAGAGCTTTCAAAATCAAGGTGTGTGTTCAGATGGTTACATTATTAGAGAATATGATTAGAGAATGAAATATGGTTGGAATGTGGTTCTCTATTTGCTTCACACATTAAGCCCCTGAGCAAAAACTTTTATATTTTATTTGTTCAGGCTCATATAAATGTTTCCTGGCTGATTTAAATGTATTCTTTTTTATTAGGTTTTGGTCATGCCATGTTAACACATTTCATGGTGTCATGTTAGCTGCTTTTATAGAAATGGCACGTGTCACTTAATGTTGGGACAAGCGTAGAATCTGGGTCCTACAAGTGCTCATCCAAGAATCCAGTCATGAATTGTCTGAGGTTTAGTGTCTTACCGTAGTCTCACTTGAAGGGACATGCAGGAGAGCCTTCGGATATGTAACTGTTCATTCTACCAGATCAGGGTCAGCAAACTTATTCTCTAAAGGGCCAAATCATATGCTTATTAATCATATTGCAACTACTCAATGCTGCCATTATAGTGTGAAAGCCCCATGGACAGTATATCAGTGAATGGTGGGTTTTAATAAAACTTTATTTATAAACACAAGCAGTGGGCTGGATTTGGGCTGTGGGGCATAGTTTGTTAATCTCATATTTAGTGCCAGATACTTAAAATTACCTTTTAAAATCAGATTCTCATAAAGCAACATGTATTTGCCATATTATCTCAGCTCTCTTCACATGGCTTCACTAAGTTAAGATTGAACGTTGTGCCATTAGAAGTTAGTGGCTGCTGAAGGTTGGGGTGGGGAAAGGTCAGGAGCAGTCTCTTGAAGGAGGTGGCATTTGAGCAGAAATCTGAGAAAAGGCGAATGAGTCCTGCAGAGAAATCTAAGGAAGAGAGTGCCAGTGAGTACAGAGCAGCAGAGGGACTTAGCCTGTTTGAAGGGGAGCAAGCACAGTGTGGCTGCGGTAAAGAGTAGATCCGGCTGCAGAGGTTGGTAGGGTTGGGTCAAGTAGGGACCCAGAAGCCAGGTAAATAAATGAACTCAGTTATGACTTGCAATGGGGCAGCTACTATGTTAGGTGGGATGCAGTATTCAAAAGTGTGTAAGATGTCCTTGTTCTCAAGATGCTGACCACATACTAGGGGCGATTGTACACGTCCACAAAGAACCGCAGCAATAGCCGTGCATGATGAGTGTCCTGTAAAGGCTGTCCATGGCAGAATGGAATTGAGTTACCATGGCTCTTTATGCTTCATTTAGTATGGAAGAGAGGGAAGGAAATCTGTTGGCAAAAATTAACCAAAGAATTTCTCAGTAACTGTTTTGAACAGAGAGGTGTTATATTTAGAATGGTATTTTCTTTAACGGTCTCCAATCCAAGGTTTCTTGTTCAATAGTAAGACTTTTTGCTAAAAAGTCTAAAATGAAGGTGTAATTGCTGTTGCATTTTAGATGTTTTCAGGTTGCCTGAGTAAACTAGAAGAGGAATTAGTCATTGCCATTTCTTGGGCACTCACACAGATGTACAGTCTATTTGCAGAGGCTTGCTAACCATTCCTCAATTTGGCTATTTAATGGACTGTGTCTCAAGTGAACTGTCTATTTTGAACTATCTATTTTGATTTTCTTTTTACCCTTAAACACTTAAATAAAGAATATTTATCATAATAGTAAGATGTTTATTTCAGAGTAAGAACTATGAGTTAAATATGAGTTAGAACCAGTTGTACCTCTGTCAACAACCCTAAAATAGCTTCCCAAATAGTTTCTACTTAAATAGAAAAGTATGCTATTGTTTCAGTAAGTTTGTATTTGGTGGAGAAATCCAACAGTAAAATATTTTCTGTAGTGTCTATGATGCCAAAGAAACATTTACAGATAGGAATTTTATAGCGAGTGATTTTTTAAAAAAATTATTAATATGTTTGTTTGCTTCTGAAGGATTTTGCAAACACTATTCCTGGACATGGTGGGATAATGGACAGATTTGATTGTCAGTATTTGATGGCAACGTTTGTGCATGTCTACATCACAAGTTTTATAAGGTACTTTTAGATTTTTAAAAACTGTTTTATTAGATGATTTCTTGAAGTTTTTCATTTCCACAGCCATTAGTTTGAATGAGTTACTTTTTGTGTCAGTGGTAATCTATACTATCAGAAGAGAATGGTGGCCCCTGTTGTATCACACCGTGGCCCCGAGCAGTATGGTTAAATTATACTTATTTCACATACATTTGGACAACTTAAAACAACAGTAGTTTGTGTGATGGTTTTTATAGGGCCAAGTTAAAATCCATTTAACATGGATTGGAAAACCAGAAGATTTAATTTCTCAACTCTGAGTATGACAATGATAATCAATACAAAAAATTTAAAAGGAGGACATAATTCATTTAGTCCATCAATTAGTGCTTGAGGGCCCATTATGTGTTGGGAAATGTTCTAGGCACAGATATAGCTAAGAACAAAACAAACCAAATTCCTGCCCTCAGGGCTGATGTTCTTATTAGAAAGTGGGAGGGAAAAGGTGCAGAAGTAGAAAATAAAACAAATCAGTATAGCTTGTTAGGTGGTT